GCGGGGTATATCCTCTTAAAATTGCATTCTTTAGTTTCTCAGGTACTTGAGTTATCAATTTACCCAAAAAAATTTTGGCGAGCTCGAGTTATGAACTGACCCCAAAAAAACTTTGGCGGGCCCGTATGCGGGTACCACTCGGGTTTCGGCGCCAATTTTTGGGATGGGAGCCCGTACGTGCATGTAGATTATGCCCCCAAAGTTTCAGCCCTGTAGCTTTTGCCGGTCTCGAGATGAAAAATCGGTACAGACGAACACACAGACACACACACACACACACACAGACCTCTCGTCAATATGCGTTTTCTGCATTGCATAGCTGCAAAAAATGCATAAAAAATGGTATGGTTGTCAGATACACCAACCAGTGGTGAACTAGTAGCCGTTTCGAGTAAGTGTCAAGTAAAAGCACGTAAAGGGGCCCCATCTCCATTTTCTGATCAGTTACTGCCAACAGGTTAAACAGGGATCGGAAATTCCATATATGCATTCTAGCATATCTGCCAGTCACTGAAACTCCGGTGCCACAGCTTCCTGCTCGCGCTGTTATCCAGAAAATAGCTTGATTTTGTGGAGTTATAAATTTCGTATGAATGCTAGGATATAGAAAACTGATTTCACAGTGGACCTGCGTCTCCATCAAAGGCTCCAAATGAATTTTTTCTTTAAAACACCAGCATTTGCAGCTTTCACGAATCCACACTTTGGTGATTAAATTATGCGGACGGGACCTAACTTTCGAGATCGCTATCTGTTCCAAACACACTGCATAAAAAAATAGAATTTTTAACGAATGCCGTACAGTGAAAATACCTCTTTTCTCAGAAACTGCTTGTAGTACCGCTGTGATTATGTCACACTTCTTTTGCTGTCTGGCCATCTCATGAGCGCGTTTTTTGGAAGCGCGGATCAGCTTAGAATTGGCATAATCCACTTCCTCATCCATCTTAGCCAACTCGTTTCTTAAAGTTGGGCAGTCTGAAAGAACAGCGCTGTACATGATTCAGAAGATGTTGGCAATAAACAAAGATTATAAATGAAAACTAAAAGAAATTTCGAATTACCCATTTTCCAGAGCTCATCCTCCTGATGCTTTCTGGCTATTCGTTGCGAGCCATCCGACATGTGTGACGTGTCCGTCATGAAATCACTTTCAGTGCTATAAACGAATGTTATTAATAGCAGAAACTACATTTAGCAACACTACAGGAAGCAATCCAGACAATTTTCAGTGAGCAAAGCGGCAATCCGGAGGATTATAAAGAAAAAACTCACGAGTGATGACGTTTGCCGTCCTCGTACAACAATCCCAATAGACACTTTAAAGTTTTACGTCTTTCCTGTATCGCTTTCGAGCATTCCACATCCGCACTAAACATTTTAGAAATCCTCCACACAATTTGTTTCATTCATTTAACATGATTAATAGGCGTAATGAAGAAATGAAGCCGCTTAAAGTATCAAAATAAGTGCCAGCGTCTAGAATGCTACAAACGATGAAAAGAAAGACAGCAAAGTGTAACTGGGCTAGATATTTCGAAGAACTGCGGAAAAAGAAATAAAGTGATAAAAGGCCACTTTTGGAGAAAAATCAAATGTAAACTGAGTCAAACGCTGCAGCCCACTAACTATGCACGTTTCAACTCGGTATAGAGATGCTCGTCAGAATAATTAAGGCACTTCATGTATGAGGATCTTTTGTCTGCTGTGGGTGAAACTTTCACCGCAACAAAACAATCTGCATCAAAAGACAATCTCCTCTGCGCGTTATTTGCGAAACAGTTACCACAGTTCAAATCCACCTAATCTCAAAACTCAGCAGCACATATATGACCTGAAGAGTTACATCCCAACGAAGAATCGCTTTTAGAGCTTAGGCCAAATCCTCCATAACAATGGCAGTAAAATTTAGAGCGCGAAGTTTTCTATCCAGCAACACTGTGCAATAACTTTCAGGAACATAACGAGCTAGAAATCGTAGGTCAATAACGAATTAATCCAAGACTAATTTGTCAACAAGCATTTGCCAGCATGTTCAGCAGTCGGTGCCTATTGCTGAGTTTGTCAACTTAGAACTCGTAGCCAAATATGTGAATCCTGAAATTTCAAGAAAGGCTTCGGGGACTTTTCAAAACAGTAACGGGCACGAAAAACTGCTTTCGAGCGAACACTGTTTTCCTTTCGTCCCACACTTTTCGGTCACTTTTTACACTAGGAAAGGTTATGTTTATCGAGCAGCTGTTATCAGTACAGTATCCTGAAATAAGGTGAAGGAGGCGCACCACAAATTTGGTGCTGCTCCTTCCTTTTACTTCTCTTAACATTTCTTGTTTTACTGCCCAAACTCAATATTTCTGAACCGCCCAATCGCTCTTTCATTAATCCCGGCCAAACATGACTTGATTTTGCACTCATCAACTTCATTTAGCGCATAATTTTTCTTAAGTTTTCGTGTCTTCTGTAGTAATAGGCAAAATCCAACAAGAATTCATAAAAAAGTAAAATTATTCACAAGTGATGCTAACCTGTGATTGCTGGCCGGAAAAGAAGACTGCTTTTTTCGCCGCGCTTTTCTTGCGCTAATTGCTCCGTTCTGCAAAATCTTCTTCTGAGCTCATAATGCAACTGGAAAAAGGGTGAGCTTGCGAGTTACCTGCCAGACAAATTCATCATTGACTATTAGGTCGAGGCAAAATTAAGCGCACAACGCGGAGCTGTGGGAAGTGAGACGATCGTAATACCTTAAATAATTTGTTATTGTAAACGTGTGGTGCAGATTCATCAAGAAATATTTGAAATGTCTCATTTTCATGCTGTTTCCTTCGTGAGAAATTACTAACTCGAATCGATGCCTAAAGTTATCATGCGTAGAACAGTACAGGAAGGGAACTGACTTTAAATGCTTTATTGCGCTTCGAGTGAGAAAATAAATTTTCAAATGTGCATTTTCATGGCCTGCATCGTTCTGAAGTGCTAACATTAACCTGAACTTAATCTAGAGTGGAGATCAGAACCTTAAACCAGCATCGGGGATTATGTGTCTACGGTCGAAAAACGATAAATTTCGAATACTTCAAATGTGAGTGATAAAGTAAAAGTAACATAAACCAATGGGACAAATTTTTACAAATGTGCTCAGATGACTAGAAATTTACATTTCCAGAACCTCATGTACAATCTAACTAGCAATGTCAATAGCAGGAAATCTCTTTTCATTCAACATCTCGTTCACGCAAGAACTAGCACACATGCTTCTCGCTTAGCATCCAAAATGCATAACACACTAAGTACTGAAAAACTGCGCTAATATTTATAAGAAATAGATACATAATATAATTTTTTTAAAATTACCAATGGGACTTCCATTCGTGAAGACCTGCGTGTTAGAAAAATATTAAATTTTGAAAAAAGTCTATCAGTTATCTGCCCCGAAATACTCAAATACAAGGCAAAAAATTTTTTCTAAATTCGTCTGCAGCAAAAACACCCAACTCTCAAACTGACATAACTTCTGTACTGTAATCTCTTTTTTTATACGTTTTTTGCAGCTATACAATGCAGAAAACGCATATTGACGAGAGGTTGCATGTGTGTCCGTGTATCTGTGTGTCTGTGCGTCTGTGTGTCTGTGTGCCTGTGTATCTGTGTGTGCATCTGTCACGCACTTTCATCTCAGGACCTATAAAAGCTGCGGGGCTGAAATTTCG